CTGAAAGTTCAGATGACAATAGTTGTACAATGGCTTCTTAGATGTATCTAGTCTAACCATCAACAAGTAAACAATGTTGGATATAATAATGATAACTATGCTGATCTTTTGGAGAGGTAAACCATCTATTCTTTTTTTAAAAAATCATGGAAGCAAGAAACTTCTTAAGGCTTACAACATAAAAGAAGTAACTACTTCTTAATATGGTTTTTGACAGAAGGGGGTCAACTGGCCAGAGGGGTAATGAAATGGAGAGCAGCAGCTTTTAAGAGAAAGAGAGGTTTAGAGAGAAAAAATTTCAGAGGAAAGAAAAAAACCTAACTTTGGCAGAGAGAGAAAAAAAAAGAAGAGAAAGGGAATATATATAAAAGAAAAGTTTGTAGAAGAGAAGGGAGAAACAAAGAAAGAGAGAAGAAGAGAGTAATAGGAAAAAAAATTGTATTAGGGGAAAGGGAAAAAGCAAAGAAAAAAGAAAACAATTTAAAAATTTCCTAAAAAGGAAATTTTCAAGCATAGGAAGGAAAATGGGAAAGAGTTTTTATTATTATTCCATAGTTTATCCTCTTCAAAAGATCAAAATAACCATTATTGTCATATTTAATATTGTTTACTTATTGATGGCTATATTAGATATATTTAAAAAACTAATATATAACTATTGTTACTCAAATTCTCAAAGAGTTGTGCCTTGCAGTATTTAAATAAAATGGTAACCAATATCAATATAAAAATTGCAAGGTCTACCAATAGAAATTAAGAGGTCTTTAGATAAAAACTAAGAGGTCTACGGATAGAAAAAATACCTATTTAAAGAAACCAAAAAGCTTATAGATAGAAACTGAGAGATCTTCAGGTGCTATACTAATAGTTGAAAAATTTAATAGAGTAAATAATATATAATAACCAGGGATTCTAATTACCTTTACAAATAGAGCTAGTAATAACAATACAAGTTTCTCGATTACTTTTCAACAATATAGGTCCATGTGCTAAATTAGATATAAACATCTATAAGAATATTCAATATACTCTATTTATTGGATACTTCCATTACACTTGAAAAATAAATATGCTAAATCCTTTATGTGACTTGGAGGCCAACCTGTATAAAATGGCTACAGTACCTTTATATATGGAGATTTTTATACTTTTATTATCTCCAATTAAATATTATACAAACTATTCTAATCCTTTGTTAAACACTATTCAAGATTTATAAAGCTTTAATATATATTTTTTCTATTACTTGAATAGTTAATAAGTAGGCAAGTTAGTATTAAACTCAGTAACCAATTGGTTACAAGAGATATTATTATTTTCTTTATATAATAATTTTACAATATTTTATAATTTAATAAAGTGACAAGATTTTCCTACTAAAAAAAAAAAAATTAATAATTAATTATTGTTTTTTTAGAAACTTTTTTTGCTAATTCTTTTGCCAATCCAAAAAACAAATGTTTTTGAAATTTTTTTTTATTTTTCAATAATAAAGTCTAAATATTTTTTTTAATAATATATATTCCTGAAGGCAAAAGTCTCTTTCACTTGTTTATCTTTTCTTTTTCAGAACTCTTTGGATATTTCAATAACAAAATATTCAAAGCTTATCTATTTGGTTTATAACAAAAACATCTTATTGGAAAAAAGAAACCTGTTAAAAAAAAATTCTTGATTTTTTCTTAAGATCTGGAATTATAAAAGAGCTCACTAATAAATATATTTTTCAAGCTTTATAAAAATCTTAGATCTACCATAAATAAATATTTTTTCTGAAGATGAATGGATAAGCTAGTGTTTTGGTCTATAAATGTGAACATATAATTTTTTTTATCAATCAGATGTTTACAGCAGTTTTTTCAAGTATATTAATAAATTTTTAAAAATTTTTAAGAAATTTTGCTTACCTTAGTTTGATCTGAATTTTTTATTGCACTCAATATATAACAGAAAAGTAAAAAAGACAAATACTTCTCACATGTTTCTGTTATACAACATAACAACAATAATATAATTACAAACAAGATGTCATAATATTTTCTTAAACAGAAGTGGTTTGATATCTTTCTTTTCTCTTAAACTGGTTTTTTTCTTTTTAAAATCAAAAGAAGTCTTATTTCAATCTGATAACAAGCTTTTTTTGTTGATGATTATTTCAAGAAGATATTAAGCATTTAGGTTATAAGACTTTATAAACAATAATTTCTATAGTAAGTTTTGTTATAGATATCTTAAATGTTCTTGATTAGTAATGGAATAATGAAAATTAAATAATTTATCCAGCTATAGGTAGTGATAAAGGATTTATCCTGATGGATTAAAATTAATATTGGTAGATTTTTATTTATCAAAACTAATTTTTCAAACACTTTTTTTTTTCTTTTTTTTTCTTAAAAAATAATTTTTTTTTATCTCTATAAAACTATAGCAGTAATATAAGGGTAACAGTTCTGAATAAAAACTAGCTATACCATTTTAAACTAGTGAAAGTATTAGAATAAAATTATACAATATTTTTATTTCTTATTATCACATTTAAAAACTTTAAGCTTATAACAGATGTGCTGTATAGCAATACAATAGTTTAGCTTTATCAAATATAATATTTTAATACAAATATATAATTGTTTTTTAACAAATAAGATTGATTATACATGTTGCTAAAATTCATAGATCCTTAACACAATTGATGCAATTATTTGATACAATTAATTGAATTACTATTAAAACATATAAATAATTGAGTCATGACATTATTATTTTTGAGGATTTTGGGAATTGAGTCAACAGTAAATAATTTATATACCATATGTATAAATAAGATTAATAAATTAAATGATTTGTAGTCTAATTTGAAGTAAAAAAAAAAAAAAGATATTGTTTATTTATTTATTTTATTTGAATTTTTAAAGATTTGTATATGTTATTTAAAAAATTTTTAAAAAGCTTTAATTAATTTATTTATATAATTTATTTTATAAAGATATTTTGTTTAATAAAATTCATATATTTAATACTTGTCAAAAATAAAATAAATTAATTAAAATATTAAATAAATATTGTTTTCTTTATTTTTAATGTTTTAGCTATTGATAAAATGGTTATCTTTTTTCTTTTTGCTTAAAAATTGTAAATTTTCTTTAGCTTTATAATAAAAAATAAATTTTGAAATTATTAATTTAAAATTTGTTTTATTATAACTATTGTATATTTATGTTGTTTTTATTGATCACTAAATTTTGCATTTAAATAATTCCATATTGATTATTTTTTATAATAAGTTTTTTTTGCCAATTTTGCTATTTAATGAAATATATACTGTTTTAACTTTCAAATACTTTATTACACTTATGCAAGAAGCTAAAGTTGATTTTTCAATTTCGTAATAATATTTTTGTTATACTTTAAATAATACAATTCTAATTCTAGTTATAATATCAATTGGAATTGCTCATATCTGCTTTTGTGATTTAATTTATCGTATTTACTAAGAATGCATGGAAATGTTTATGAATATGTTTGATTACAATAAAAAATCATAATTGTGAACCTAAGTTTCTGCTACTAGAGACAGTGATTCGATGTCAGATGCATTCAACAAAAAGGTCAAATAAATAAATATAAACATGAAATATATAGAAAAAATACTATTTGTTCTTCATTGAAAATATTATATCAATATCAATATCAATATCCTCTTTGATTTCCGTAATCTCTTTTCTTTGATACAGAATAAATAGTGTCTATAATTCCAATATTGACATCCCCAGCATTGCCGTTGACAAGTAAATTAATTGATGATTGGTCGACTTCGAATGATCAAGTATGTTTGTCCCATCAGTCCAGTGTAAAAGTACAATCTGGTCGAGGACCATGACAAAAAATTTGACGGATTAGTAATATTCTTAACAGATACAACTTTAGTTACCATCTTATCCATCGCACCAGATTGACTCGAAGATTGTGTGTCCTGTGAGGCCAGTTTAGAAAGACTCGAAGACCTATACATCAGGTAAGCTCGAAGTTCACCTGTGCTCTAACACCGACTTTGTGGCTCGACTCGAAGACTTGAATGATAGAAAACTCGAAGATCTCTACCACGCCACTTATTTGACGATTATCTTTAATCATCTGATCAATCCCACCAAG